TGTTTTTATGCTAGGAAAAGATGCCTTGACATTTTTAAGGATTGGGAAGCTATTTCAGATAAGCCATCATGTTCATAAAGATTAACTTATTCATATAAAATGTTCAATAACCAGGAAACACTGAATAAAATAATTTCATAAATTATTTTTTGGTTATGGACATTTCTTTCTTTTAAGAAATAAAGTGCCTGTCTATATAAAGAAAAAAACTAAAATAACGGTAAACAAATACTTATTGGGTCCAGCCAAGTAAGCAGCATCGTTGGTTTTACAGATGTTGGTACCTTGTCTTTAACTATTTAACTGCTTATAATAAAACCTTGCAATGGAATAATAGCTTTGTTCCTGAGTCTCATAAATATTTTTCAGCTCCTTTCTCCTAAATTCCCTGCCTGATAATCTTTTGAAGGAAGGTCAGAAAAAGTGATAAATCTTTTTAATCTGAAAAGTTCACATCTACTGTAAAGAAAACCAGAGGCATAAGACCTTTTAATAAGGAAATCAATGGCAATATATTTAGGATGTTCTATTTTATAAAGACTTTTCTTTCATATCACTATGACCTTTTAATTTTTTTTTTTTTTTCTGATTTTCCACAACTGAACTAATTACTTGTGGGATTATTTCACATCAACCTTCCCAGTTAGACCATGAGCCTCCTGAAAGCAGGGACGGATTTTCTCCCCCATGTTTATCACATAGTCTGCACTAAATAAAAATATACTTCCAGCCTACACTACTACTTGAAGTAAGGGGTATCTTAAATTTACTGCTCTCATTTTATTTATTCAAAAAAAATTTCAAACCTCTAGGGATGCCCCTTCATCTTATTATTTCAGGATTTGGTAATCAGAATGTATGTCATCTTGTCTACCATCTCTCAAGACTCTCTAGATTTAGATCACACCCTCAGATCTCTACCTTTCATGCCAGTGAGTCCCAATGTCAGGCTGCCCCCAAAGCAAGTTCCTACTGCCTTCATCAGTTTGCTTGGTTGAAGGATGGTGGCCATTATGTCCTTCTCAGAATGCTTGGGGATATGATTAAGTAAAGACAGTGATAATAATTCCCTAATTATAGTCACTCATGTTGCTCCCACCCCCTAAGTAACTCTCTACCCATTGGAATGGGGTGGTGGTAGTATTGAGATGGTACAGGGCTTGGTGAGATGTTGGCTTGGAGTTCCTCTTTCAAACCTTAGGAACATAATCTTTTTTCTTTCACCTATCTTTCAGAATCTTCTTCCATAAAAGATCCCTTCAAGTGCAAAAGGAAAGCTATTTTGAGCATGAAAATTATTGTCCCACAATTGTCTTACTGGAAACCCTCAGTGAGCTCTTACTATGGGCATCTATCTGGTTCCCAGTCCAAGTAACTCCCTAAGGCTCTGTGCTCTTAATGCCAGTAGTCATTACTTAATGCAAATCCCAGCAAGTAATCAAAGATCCCCAACCTTTAAGATACCCACATCCATTTATCTCCAACCTCCCCTTCTTCTCATACTGGCAGCCTCATAGCCTTGAGGGTCCAGCTCAGAAGCTACAACAGTCCACATTCCATACACACAAATATAGCGCTGATCATTACAAACATCTCGTTTTCCACTTTAATTTGAAGATTAATATGTATTCAGGTATTTTATAGGTAGGACTCTCAGTTTTAGTTTGTCTATCTGATTCACCCTTAAGTCTACATTTAATCTAATTCTAGAGCTATTTCTCCCAGCTCCTTTGAGATAAAAGACACTAGATCTCAAGTCATTCACTTGGTTCCATGATTAAATGACTCCAGAGTTAGCTTCCTTACTCCAGATTGGGTAGCTTCCTTGTACTGGATGGAGATATTGATTGTCTTGGATATCAGTCATACTGAAAGCAAGGTACTTTACTCATGTCTTTCCTTATCTTCTGTTTGAGATGATTCCTATGTTTCCAAGTCATGGTATCTCCAAAACAATTCATGTTTCTTTTCAGTATTAAACTCCTTTTCCCAGAGTCATCCTCTGCAGCCTATAATTTTCCTTCCTGATGTCTTTAAATTCCTCTAGGAGGTGTTAGATGCCAAGTACACATCTTTCCATATCACTTCTCATTACCAATTTTAGAATGAAAGCATATTTTATTTTTCACATTATAGTCTTTTATTCTTTCAAGAGGAGGCATTCTCAAGTAGTCATAGGTACCTAGAACTGCTCTAGTGTTCCTACTAAGTGCTCATAATAAATAGATTAATAATTCTTTTGGCAATTAATTTTATTTTCCCTTGAATTTATTTTTCCCCATCACCATTTATCCCCCAACACCCCCTCCCACCACCCACCTCTCCCCACTCCTGCAATTACCACACTGTTGTCTGTGTTCATGAGTTCTTTCATTTTTTTCTTTTTTGCTCAATCCCTCCATCCCCCCAAAACAACTCCCTGACCCCACAACAGAGATATCTGCCTGCTCTCTATCCATAAGAGTATCTCTATTTTGCTTGTTAGTTCAGTCTGTTCATTAAATTCCAAACATGAGTGAAAAAGATATGGTCAGCAGCAGAAGCAGGAGTTGATACTGGGGCTGAAGGTTCAAGGCAAGCTCCAGAAGTTCTTGGCTCAGTGGCTGACATCAACTTCTGCAGCTTGTCCTTCAGCACTATATTTCCTCCTCTTAGATTAATTTTGAGGTCTTTCCTTTGCAGTTGATGTTGGTGAGCAGCAGATGCAGGAGGGTTGATGTCATCACCCAAAGAAGTTGATGCTGGGATTGATAGTACAAGGCCAGCTCCAGAATTTCTTGACTCAGTGGCTGGAGGGCTGGGACATTTTCCCACAGACTCCTATCCCTCATTGGTTGCCAATTGAGTGCTCTGGTATTAAAGGAACATATTCCTGTTTAAGAACACATATAGTTTGAAGAAGGAAATTGACTAAATAACTAAAAGGGACTTTGGGTAAGAGTAGAGTTTGGATGACATTTAAATGAAACAGTGTTTGGATAGACTCAAAGTAAATCAGTTGTCAGCATCAGGTCTGGGAAGGATCCAGGGTTGTTTTCTTGGAAACTGCATAAAGTTACAAAAGATGTGGACTGTTGTATCCAGAGGCCCCTTATCTTAAGCTCTTTACACGGTTGGAAATTGAGGCTAATTCTCTATGTCAAAGTGTCTTAGAATTTCCAGACAAGAGTGGGCTGTTCTATTCTTAATAATATAGTTTCAAACAACAAAGCTTCTGATAGTCTGTGGTTTTAGAGAAAAAGTTCCTCAGCAAGTAAGAAGATAGCAATTACTGAAAGGAGTTATGACTCTTCATAGCATGTTCTTGGAAGAAATAGTTTCCTATAAACTTTGCATCTGACTTTAGCCATGTTTATTATTCCAGTATGAGTGATGGAGCAGACTTTTACTTTCTAAGTCCCAGCTAATGCTTAGCTTAAAAGAGATAACCAGCCAAGAGAGTGGAAAAGAACTTCCCAGGCAGAAAAAAGCAAATGTGAAGGTTGTGAACTTGAAAAGATCTTGACACATTCAAGAACTTAAAAGCTAACAGAACAGTAATATAGACAGCAAACGATTTTGAAATGAGATGGGAGAGATAGGCAGGGGTCAGATTTTACAGAAAGCTGTTAGTCTTATTAAGAATTTTACATTTTATCAAAAGAGCAAAGAGAAGTTACTAAAGGGTTGTAATCAGAGGAATTTCCCAGACTTGATGTACTAAGATGGACAATGCATTGTTGGGGCAATAGTGAAAAATGGAATCATTGCAAAAGAAAATGGTGGTTTTTATTAGGGTGACACCAGTAAAGGACAGAAATGAACAGATTCAAGATTTTGGAAAAAAAACATTTTAGAATTTGAAAATATACAATGGGGAAGGGAGAAGAGTTAGGGCAAAATTTCAGTTTCTGGCTTGAATATCCAAGTAGAGGGTGTGGTGTCATTAACTAAGGTGCGGGAGGCTGGAGGCAAGGCAGGATTGATGGGAAGGAGTAAGAGTTACAGCTTGAAGTTCTTAAATTTGTGCGACATTCAAAACAGGATGGTACGAGTTCACTAAATATATGGACCTGGGGGTTCAGAAGAGGGGTTTGAGTTTCTGATTTTGTCAGATATACGTTGGTCCCTTGTGCATGTAGACTGATTGGGCAAGGACAAATGACACTTCAAAGGGGCTGCTCTAATATTTCCAAGATCAAACAGGTGCTCCTAATCCATACTATGGTAATCTCCTTCTGCTTTTCCTTCATGGTATATTATATCCTTCAAGACCCCAAGGCAATGCAATAATTTAATCAAAATATTTAGTTAAAAATATTAACTAGTTATATTTGTTCTACTCCACTGGTAGCTGTATAAAGTTGAGAGTACCCTAAATGTCCAATGCTTAAAGTTTGAAGCAACTTAAAATGTTCATTGCCTTATCCACACGTCATGATGTTTGCATGATGCATAAAAGTTATAAAAGTCTGTAGTAATTGGAAACATTAAGTTTTGACCAATCTGGAAAAGTTTTTAACAAGTTATTATTGCCAAATAAGCAAAGCAGGCCTGATGGACTGAAAAATGAATTAGAGAGAAAAATTATTTAATGGTAGAAAAAAAGTTTGACATATTCTTTTTGTTGTTTCTTTTATGCATATAATTACAACAGAAAAGCAAAAAGAATATAAAGGGTACCATAATTCTGCCTATCCACAGATAATAAAACTTAACATGCTGGTTCTGTTCTTTCCTAAACACATCCCTTTCTTTTCCTCTGAACACAACCATCTTTCATCTTAAACATCCTGTTACTCCCTGTTACTGGACCCTTAATGTTATTAGTTTTTAAGTTCCAAAGCCTGGAGGGGGGAAAGAAGGGTCAAGAAAGAGAACATAGGAAGAGGTAAAATGACTGAACTGAAACTTTCTATTTTATAATTTTGTCTTGGGTTAATTCTGAGGCCTAAAAACTACCAAGTAGCCACTAAGTAACTGTCAAATAAATAAATGAACATACATGTCAATAAGCAAAATTGGTTTAATACATGCCTATTTAATGTTTCATTTCTCAGAAGGTTGTTATTTGCAACTTGAGGATAAAAATTCAAAATAGTGTATTCAGCTCTTGATGTTGGATAATGTGGGCACATGTTTATCTCCTGCCTGTCACCTTTCCTTTCTGACAAGTTTCTACTCTGCTGTATCACAGTAAAACAACCACTCTAAGCTGATGAGCCCCTTATCACTTTATACTTTCCTCACCCCCTCTATGCTGTAACATTTAGTATGTTGTTTAATCCTAAGTACTCCAGTTATTGCTGGTGTCAAGAACAGATACCTTATCACTGGGATTTGATCTAAGAGAACAGAAACTCCACTGCAGCCATCAGTCCAAATATTAAGAACCAAGAAAGACCTTTTTAAAAAAGAAATAACAGCTACCCCTCGTCTACATCCTAAATCATCAAATATTTTTCTCTACTCTCCTTTAAAATTTTGAATTTATAAAAAAATGTTTTATTGTGTTTCTATGTAAAATGGCGATGATAAATAAAAGTAGCACAGTATTAAGCACCACTGCTTCTTGCTTCAAAGAATGTCCTATAGATTTGCTATTATTTGCAAGACATATATGTAAAATATGCATTAAAATTCCAGTTTCATGAATAATAATTACAAAAACTTCAATAAATAAAATTTGTGCCAAATGTACAATGTAGCAATGTTCTTACAAAGAAGTTTTAATACAGAAGAGAACATTCTTTTTTTCCAGAAAATTAAAAAAATAGATTCTTCTTTTAAGAACATCTGAGGTTTATAAATGTTTGACTTTCAAATACCCAACAGAGAAATGTCTGTTCCTGTCTAGCTATCCTGAATAAAGGAATTGACTAACTCAATGTCTCTTTCTACCTTCCTTCTTTTCTCTCAGACTTTCGTTCTCTTACTGATAACAACTACCCTTAATATATCACGGGAATATAAAAATAACTCCTCACTTTTCCATTCTCTTTCAGCACATGCACATTTATACCACCACTGCATGACCTTAAATATATTATTTAACCTCAAAGAGCCTGTTTTCTCATCTGTAAAAGGGGGTAATTGTACCTACATTAAAAGGTTGTAAGGGTTTTTGAAATAAAGTATATAAAGGTTTTCATACAATCCTTTGTATTTGGCAAATGCATTGTAAATGGTAGTATTATGTACATTACTATTTTCATCAATGTCCCCTTATTAATAAATTTTTGATTTTAGTAATTTGAGTATACCCTTTTTGCCTTAGTTAATATAGCTAAAGATTTGTTAATTCATTGATCTTTTCAAAGAACCAACTTTTGGTTGCATTGATTCTATTTTTTTCTATTTTCTATTTTTTTTCTGCTCTAATCATTATTTCCTTCCTCTTTATGGCTTCAAACTCAATTGAATACAATATATTGAAGAATTAAATTTTCCTCAAATGCCTAAAATATAAAAATAAGTAAGTACTTCTGAGACTTGAGGCCAAGAGCAGCATATTAGTTAGATTTACTGTTTAAATCCCTATAAACAGCCCTCATATAATTCACAGTAGAATATTACTAAATCTTTATGAAGATGTTTGGAAAAGGCAAGAGGTCATGGGGGAGAATTACTCTACAGTGAATGTTAAGGCCTTCTTCTATTTTGTGAGACTTGTGCCAAACTGAAAGAGAACAATACCATGGGCCTCTTGGGTATCTGCAGGAAAAATGAAACGAAGACTCTCATTTCTAGATCATCATGTCATCATGAGACACGTCAGAATCTGGTCTGTTTCTGAAGAAAGCAAGCATGACAAGAACCATCTGTTATCCCATCAACATTGATTTCCCCCCCTTGAGAAAAGAACATGGATCTAATTGGCACCATTACTATAATGTGGGTTCCGTAAGTCTCCCCAAAGATGTAGCTTATAGGTCCTTATGACTGGCTTTCTAAAGATCTGCTCAGAAGAGCTTTCTCTCTGATTTTCATTTGCATCTCTTGCTTAGCTTTCACACTTCAACTTACCTGACCCAGGATTCCCTCCATCACCAGATATCTCACCTTACCCACCTATCCAGTGCTTCCTTTGCTTCATAAATCATGAATTTTCTGAGTTAGAGACCTATGATCATACTTAAGGAGATGGGATTTTCTGTTATTCTCAACAGATAACTTCAGCAAAAATCAGAAAAGCATGAAAAAACATCCTATGGGTTAAGGGTGGGGAGGTTAATGGGTACTTACTCCAATTGGGAGGCTTTCTACAGAAAATAATGAAACACTGGTTTAACAATAAAGACATTCACAGTATTACCTTAGACGAAAGGAAATCCATAATAGGTATACTCCAGGTTTAATTCATCAGCTCAATAGCCTCATCAAGGGCTTGTCTTTCCACTTTCTGCTGTGTCATCTCATTGCGTTGGCTTTGTTTTTAAGGTGTCTCCTTTCTGGTTGCAAGATGGCTGCAGCAGGTCTAGTCACTACATTCGGACATGCTAATGTCCAGGGCAGTTCCCTCTTCCTTGTGTCTATCTTCCTCTCACATTTTAAGAACGAAGTTTTTTTAAGATTATATTTAAAATTATTCACATCTCTGTGTTGTCAATCCCTTTCATCTTTTCAAATCATCAATAGTATCTATTAAAAATAAAATGTCTGTGTAAAATAATTTATTTTAGTAAAATTCATGGAATAGTTGCTGAGTGAGCTAGGGATTTTTAGGGTTGGGGTGGGGAGAAGGGTGTATAGACAATCGGAAGGTGAGAAGCTAGTGGGCTTAAGTCCATTAGTAACACTTTAGAACCAAGAGCAAAAGTTTTGAACTAGGACTCCTTGGCCTCGTAATTTTTTTCTTTTCTTTTTTCTTTTCTTTTCTTTTGTTTTCTTTTCTCTTTTCTTTTCTCGTCTTTTCTTTTTCCTTTCTTTTCTCTCCC